CTCCCTATAGCCAAATGAAGAGAACGATTAAGTGTAAGAGGGGGCCGTTGATTATAATTATACTCGAAATCCCTGAGATCGGGTAGGTGTGGCTGCATCCTTGAACTTAACCTGAAGGAGTCTACGCCTCTGGTAAGATATTTTCATCCTGACAAAATTGTTTTCGTGTCTTGTCCAACACAGAACAAGATGACAGTTGTCATAGACTGGAATATTACACGAGTAACCAGTTCCGTGCCATGTTCAAATGCCACGCCTACCCTGGCTCAGGGATAAGGAGTGTACATGTCGTGCGACACAATGTCGCGGATGGGGTCAAGAACGGCATATGACTATCACTACCTTCCACCAATTCACTCTTGAGGGGAGGAAGTGATACGCTACTGCGGTCCCATTTACCAAGCTAGGCGTGCAGTTGTCTTCAAGATGAAAGTGTTACATGGTGCCGAATCAACTAGCTAGGAAGCAATCTCCACTTTCTGCCCCATTGCAGTACAGTTTATCTCATGACCACTGCACCACTTACATTGTGGATCCTCAGCGAAGGGCAGTTTCCTTTTCTTAAGCTCTCGTGCTACGATTTTCAGAAACGATGATATCTTCTTTCGAAGGAATTCATATATATGAATAGGAGTAGCCAGTGACATAGGTGAGAAACGTACCTCATCATCCGGTATGTAGGGAAGTTTTGGGTTGGTCTCATAGCAGATAGCTGCAAATAATTTTTTAGGAAAATCATAACGTAGAAAATCATGGAGTCCGGTCAAAGAGCTCGAGACTGGATGTGTCTCTTGATGTTCAAGCAACTCACGGAATTCACAGAGAAGAACCTTCTCGCGGTATATGCCAGGTGGGTGTTTGCAAGACCTGGCTGAGGACAAATGGTGTTGATTGGGCATCGACATTCAAACTCGAAGAAGCCAGCTGATCCCGTGCGGTCTTGCTGCAATTGAATTGATATGAATGATGACTGATTCATGTATAATGATATGATTTTAATAGATTACAAGCCTTTCATTTCTCCGTGCTGATGCTCCCCGCCTTACATTCGGCTGAGAGGTATGTTCGTGGTGAGTGAGTGCATACGAAGGGGAAAAATGGGTTGTGAGGGAATTGTACCAACGAATGATACCATGGTAATTTCAAGCATGGTTAGAAACAAGCAACAGCTTCTAACGTTCCAGCAAGAAATTCGCACCTTCAGCCCGCCACCATTGAGGAAACTAGCACAGTGCAAGACATTGTTTGTGCCTAAGCAACAGATTCGCCTCTCATTGGATTCAAATTCCGATTCAAGCTGGATTACAAGGTTCGTATAAATCGAAATCGAAAGGAGGCCTCTGCCTCGCGTCAACAATACTGTCATGAGGCTTTTCGTTCCAGCGAGTTCTCTCCTACAGGATAGACAACAATCAAGTACCAGTGTAGATGGCAAGTGCGTGAAAAGAGAGTACATGGTGAACTTGGATAATAAGCTTTCCCCGCATTGAAGGGTTCTTCAGATTTCGGATAAAGTGAACAGCTGTGACAGAGCTTTCGTCTCAACCTACACTTCTGAGATGCGGTGGGCGTGGCCGCGCGCTTTATTACCCGTGAATGGCAGCTGATCTATTGGTGAGTATAATTCGTCTTGGGCAGATCTGCGATCACACTTTTCTCCACCAAGACAAATTTATAAAAATTGTATCGAAGAACGAGATGCACGCCGAAGGAGAACACCTGAACCCTCTAAAAAGCATATATAACGCCATATAAAAAATAAACCTGAGCGGAGGTGGTGTAGTGACAACAGTGGCGCGCTTAACCAACTCGCCGCGGCGCCGGTTCGATCCGGGCTCGACACCCGCCCAGGCCAACCAAGCATTCTACCCTCCGGGGGAGAAATGGGATAAATTGGAACCAGATTCGTCTGGGAGGATAAAACACTGACTTGTACATCGGCTGGCCACCGCAAGTCATTGTATAGGCCACATCGCATTCAAAAGCCACTACGATTCTGAATGGAAGTAGAATGCGTGCCGCATCCCCAAAACGGGATAGAATCACCCGGCGAAGACTTATCCTTGTCGCTTTTCATGAAAACTACGTTGCCGAGTGGCGGAGCCGCTTCCAATCGGCGGGCTCTACTCAAGTCAATGGTGGGACTATACTGAAAGTGTTTTCCCTAAAGATTTTAGAGTGGGAGTATCGCAATTTACCAGAGCCTGTTCTGCGAGATATCGAAGTTAAGGAGTGCTTTCAGTTGATATCGTCGGAAACAGTCGGGCGATGACAGGAGACGTTTAGTGGGTTCGCCCCTAACTGCATTTTCTACCAACATTGATCGGTTAGTGAATATTGTGAAATTTCAGTGATGGTCGAGTCAGTCAAGAAAAAAACCATCAATGGCAGAAAACGCCGCGAATGAGCTCATTTCATTTCTGCTACGCCCGAGTGAATGTTTCAATACCACTAGTACTAACTTTCGCCCCGCTTTCTATGAAAAGAGCTCGCGTGCGCCATGAGCTAGGACGGTCACATGCTGAGAAAAGACAAGAGGTTTTTCTTCTGAAGATTAAACAATTCTGGGATTAGTTCGCATTAGCAGAGACGAGATTCATAGTGTGCACGCACTATCCTGCAGGGGAATCGGGGAACGCACAATGGTGATGAATTCCTTTGTTTCGACCCTTATTCAATTGCAATTTATTTTCAGTAACATCTGTACTGAATTGTACTTAAAAGACTTTCGATTGCTCCACGTACCTCTAGAGCCTCGTGAATTCCAGCGATTCGAGGGTTTTCCGGATGCTCAAAGATCTCCACCGCCTTATCTTGACGCCACGTGCGGAACACTGAACACTTCATTATTTTGTACTTGTGACATTATGATGGGTGCTGTTTTTCGCTGCAGTCCCTTTCAGTTTTTTTCTCTCTGGAAGTTATTTCAACAACGCTGGGTTGGTGAACCTAGGCAGAACTCGAACCTGCACCTCATGCTTGCCAACTGACGCCCGCTAGCCGCCACCACAAAACCGTGTTTAGCACAATTAAGCAGAGACAGTAAAGAAGGTTCGGGAGACAATGAGAACCAGGTCCCTGAGTCCTGCTTAGGCTTCAGTCTTTTGCCAAACTTTGTAATTTTTTTGAGAAATTCCCCGTTCATTTATTGAAGGGAAGGTTAGGTTGCAGGTGAAGTGAAACCAAGGAAACGTGACGTACACAAGAAAGCTAAAAGTAATGGCATAACTTAGTCATTTGATGACATAATTTGGCTATCACTGCCTAGTTTTCGAAACTTGGCTCAGAAGTTCGATTTGCCTAGGAACTGTCCGCTAAGGGTGGATTAATATCCTGATCACGGATTTCGTACCCGTTTGGCACGAACTGAAACATTCTGGGACTCGCGCGGCAGGCGTTAGTCGCAAAATATCCGTAATCAGCAAATCTGCCTTAACCTTAATTGACTTCCTGGATGGAGCGGCGTCACAATTTTTGGTATAAGGTTCTGTAGGGAGTTCTGTGTTGAGTACTCCCTACAGACGAGTTTTCTGCGAATGCGCTGATTCAAGGTATTTTGATGCGCTGAGCGCATGTGATACTAGCGTTCAGGAGGTCAAATTATACCTGAAAGCAAGGTTTGAGCCAAACGTGGAAAACAAAAAAAAATAAAAAATTAGAAATTCCTTGATAAAATTGACCTGATTTGGGAATTTTAGGACTATAGGCTGGAAGGGAAGTTCTGTTATTGTTTTTCGGGTAGCTTACAGTTTCTGATTTTTGGTGCACATGACGTAACATGCTATGCCTGAGACACATTCTAGAAACTTTCCACAAGAGGTATATAAAGGCGCCTGCTCTTCCTGGGTTCATTTACTATGTCAGCTTCACAGAAACAGCTTCGAGTCATTAAGCTTCTTGAGTGGTGTCCGGCAGGCTTTGGAGCGGACCATGCAGCTTTGCCGGGCAGTCATCAACGTGGCCTCGGGAAGGACAAACCGCTACCATCAGTCCTAGTACACCTGTAGGTTTCGTCGTGACAGAGCGGGTCTCTGTGATTACGCGTACACGACACGGTACCGCGGCGTCTCTGCAAGAGAAGACGGATCCTAAAGTGCCAAACGAGGATGTATGCGGGAGAAGATTCTCCTGTTGCTGGCTCGTGGATCGCGAGCGGAATGTCTGCACAACGAGGCTGGCCCTGAGTAGAAACACTCGTCTACTAACATTGTGTCCCGATATCTGGAAACCCGACGGAACATCTTTCGAGAAAAATGACGCGCACTAGCTTCGGGCGCTCATTCGTGCGAGACACAAGCCGATACCTGCGTATGGGAGACTTACTAAATAATTGAGAGCAAGGCTATGGAGACCGAAACCCCACTCATCATATCTCCTGAAATTGAGCCCTGTGTGTGCGTTACCGGTCCGCCCTCCTTATGGCTTTTTGTAGTGTAAGAAAACCTTAACCAAGCTGTGACATTAGTTGAGAAGTGCTAGTTTTCGACTACAGCCTTTCCAGTTCTGCGAAGAAGGGGATCGTGTGCCCTTTCAGGGGAGCATCTGAGTGGCTAACAATGCGGATTATAATGCTGATTCATTTTAGTTGTAACAGTCGATCGCCCGGGCTGTCGCCGGGCGCTCCTCCTTCTGTGACATGGCCCGGCTTCGCCGGGCCATGCGGATTTGCCGCGTGCTAAGTTAAGGATCGTTGACCAACCAACTGTTCAAAGGAATCTTCTGCATCAGCCAAGAACTGAAAAGCAGCGCTTGTTCCGTCAAGGCGCAGAAGCAGCAGCAGCGCCCCCCCCCCCCCCTCCGCATCACAGGAGGAAAGCCGCCTTAGCCAGCGATCCGGACTGGTAACGGTTCATGACTAACGAAATAGTGCAGCAAATGCTTGGGACAGCCTGAAGCAAGTAAAATTATGCAGTCTGTCTTCCCTAAAGCGGCTTGGCTCGGAATACACTACCGAATTCAGCAGTGGGAGGTCCGGGTGGAATGGTGGGGTAGTTGTGACTTAGTCACGTTGGGTGTGGTCGGCAGGAGATTGGGAGATGCGCCCTTATAAATGGCCTCACTGAAGTTGCTGATGGAAGATAATTGTGGTAAGAGTGATAAAGTCAGTTGCTGCTGTTCATAACATCTCTGTAAACAAACCCATGCATTTGGAATAGAGCTGGCTTAGCGGTCGTACATGATTCCGCTACTGATAAGCAGTGAGGAATGAGTTCTGTTGGAATCACTGAGATCGTTATACTTGAGTCATATCGATCGCATTGTTGTTGTGAGCGGTGAAGCGGATTTCCCATGCTACCTTGTCAATTTTAGCTCCTATCACTTCCGTACCCGCCAATAACACTCCCGTCCCGGTACACTATCACCCTGTACGCCGATCAGAGGTCCGCCTGTTTGCTGTAACTGCGTTACGATCTGATGACCCTCCTTTCGAGGTCGTCTTACGCGTATTCTTATCAACTGTTATTCAGCTTCTGCCCAGTTTCCCCACCCTGCGGCATTCAAGTACTTGAAATCATGGGCCGTTGTCTGCAACTTGCCACGATCGTCAACCTCCAATTTAAGGCCCTTATCGATTTCTTCTCAGTCTTATCACCTCCGTCACCACAAATGTGTTTCCCGTCTGCCATGTATAATAACTCCTTAAATC